CACACTCTCCCTATATATACGAGGGTTGTAAATTAAATAGTGGCAACTTAACCTTGAAACTCACAGAAGGGCTGGCATGCGCAAATAGGATATAGGAGCGGTGAGGTGGCGCTGTTGTCGATGTGTAGAGTACAAAAAACAGTCGATTTGCTTAGAAGAGTAGTTGTTGTGTGGCGTTAAAGTGAGGAGTTTCGCTTCCATCGCTCTAAAGCATGTTTTCAGAAGGTGATCAGCTGTCGTGGCTTAAAATGGAGGTTTCTCGCGGCAAAAAATGCAACAGAATGCTATCGAGAATTCGTGGAAGCCTGTGGCGCAAATGCTTTACCGTCTAGGACAGTAGCACGATGGGTTCCAGCATTTCGTCTTTTTTCGTCATTAAGTCTTTTGAAAACATGCTTTAGAGCGATGGAAGCGAAACTCCTCACTTTAACGCCACACAACAACTACTCTTCTAAGCAAATCGACTGTTTTTTGTACTCTACACATCGACAACAGCGCCACCTCACCGCTCCTATATCCTATTTGCGCATGCCAGCCCTTCTGTGAGTTTCAAGGTTAAGTTGCCACTATTTAATTTACAACCCTCGTATATATATATCTCTTTCAAATGCGCAATCATTAATAATATACTCTTTACTCATTCAATCAAATTCAAATACATTCTTTTAAACTTGTAACACTTGAAGTTAATACAGATTTTTAAAAAAAATATTAATTCATTAAAATTTAATTAATTAATTTTAGTTTTATATGGAAGAAAAAAATTATAATTATTTAATAAAATGTAACTGAAATAAAAATTTTCTTTCTCGACCTATGTAGAAATTGACTTTTTTTTTTATATATTACTTGTTTTCTAAATTAAAATTTTGTTTTAAATTTATAATGTTTTCAATTAAAAAAATTGAAAATAGAGAATTTGAATTTAATTTAGAGGATTCTTACGCAAGCATTGCTCATACTCATACGTCCTTGACAGCAAAAATAAGCAAATCACAAACCTAATCCTCCCTTTAGGTCTTTGCGCAATATTTGAACTGTTGCCCTGGCAGAAATCAGGAGAATATGTGTCATAGGCCTATTTGAAATTCAGGCACTTTGCAAACTACCAAACCTCTATAAGACGTCAAGAGTTAAATCACTATCACTTAAACAAACCAAGTGTTAAATTGTAATTTATAGCAACTGAGAATATGTTATTTAAAATGCTCTATAAAGCAGTATGGCTGCGATTCACCGTTCTCTAAATAAATTATAATTAAAATCGAAGAAAGCAGTGTTGAAACAAGATAATTATTAGTGTGTTTCAAATACATTGATTTTTAACGCAACGGAATTTATGGTTAACAAGATTTAAGCCTCAAAACCGTTTTTCAAAGATTTTTCGCCAAGTAAAAAAAGTAAAAATAAAATAATTTTTAAAAAAAATTGTGATCGTCGTAAGGTGATCACAGGTTACCCATTGTCAAAATGGCTGTTGTCTAATTTTTTTTGGAAAAGTAACTTTAATGTGTTTTCATCTTGGACATCTTTAACTGTTAATCCCGAACTGTTCGGTACATAATTTCGCAAACATAAATGAATGCAGCTCAGACACATTTTGCGTAAATTCTTTTGATGACTGAATAGAGATTGAACAGCCAATCGAGATTAATATTAACATTTTCGGATTGGTACAATGGTGTTTGAAGGAGATTGTAAGCTGCATCATACACCCATTTCGGATTCACAAGTTCATACATGAAACATGATTTGTAAGCTAGGCTTTTCTTCAATTTTACATAAATAGTGAATGAATCATTGATATTGCGTGGAAGACAGTCTACGGTCTTGTGCAAGAAGTTCGTTGACAATGGATCCGTTTATCCTTAACTGGTAATCAACACCCAGTTCTCGTATTTGCATGAAAAGGGTTCGGAGAGCCACCATTCACTCTTCGGTAGGGTTCAATTCTCTCAACCACTTTAGTACTTTTGTGAGGGATGGTCTTAATGCTTCTGATTGCGAATGGAATCCTTTCGTTTTTCCGTTTGTGTGTAACGCTAAGTTCTTTGACTTTGGCTTTTTCAGTCTCGGTAAGTTTAGGCCTTGGCATCGTTTTTTTTTAATTGTTTCAAGTCTAACTTTTGGAGAAGTGTCAGTCAGTTTGGATCCTCTTTATTTGTGATATTCATCTGAATTAGTATTGAAAATGATCCAGTTCGAACTGTAGGTTTGAATTTCTGAGACTTAATTAAAACAATAAAAACAAAAATATCGTTCAAATTATGAAAATCTCTTTTATTCAGAACTCAAGATGTATTTATGAGATCTTTCTGGTCCCATATCTCTAAAATAAACTCGCCAACTTAATGCATAACAAAATTAAAAGTGAAAAACAGAATTCTAAAAAAATTATCAAACAGCAGCGGTTGCCATAGCAACGCATGCAACGACAACGCATACGCACTGTTTACTATTACTCTTGATTAAGAAAGCTCTAAATACGCTAGTAGCATATCATAAAATGCCAATATACAACAAAACTATTTAGAACACTTTTACGAATAAATAAATTACTATACTAATACTCTATTTCAATTTTTGGAAGTTGGAATGCTTTATAAGTGGTCATATTAATTCAATTATTTAACTTAATTTTTAAATCACAATTTAACTTTTGAAACTCATTTTATTAAAATCTATTACAGTAATTCCATTTACATGCATTGTATTTAAGCTAAGTAATTTTAATCACAAATTGAATACTTAAGCATTCCTATGGATTTGGAGAACATTCTTCGTATTAATTCAATTATTTAACCTTATTTTTAAATCATAATTTAAATTTTGAAACTCATTTAATTAAAATCTATTACAACAATTCCATTTCCATGCACTGACTTCAACAAAGTAACTTTAATCACAAATTGAATACTTAAGCATTCCTATGGATTTAGAGAACATTCTTCCTTTTCTCAACGAAACTAATAATAATTATGAGTGGAATGGAATATTCAAGGGTGTAATAAAACTTCTTTTTTCCCACTTCTTCGTAATTCAGGCCCATTAACCTGCCTCTAGTTTCAATGTATCATACTTATATATATCGATTTTTTCTTTCAATGACATTTGTTTCAAAACTATGTATAATAAGAATTTGGTTTTGGCACAATGCCATTGAAATTGATATTCGAAGTTAAAATTACACAGTTATTTCTTTAAAGAGTGACTTAAGGAATCTTATTTGCATATCAAGTAGATAATTGCTTTTTATTGAACGTTGTTGGGTTGGAAAACATATTGTTTAAATAATAACAAAGATTAAATTTACCAAATTGAAAGAAAGTAAAGTACTCATAAAACTACAGTAAGACTAAAAAATCACTCAAATCTGTTTCATTTATTTAACGTCTTGAAATATTCTCTCTAATATCTAATTAATTATTTAAACATCAAATAAATAATACCAAGAAAGTACTATAGAGGTAAGATATTACCTAATTAAGAGCTAAATTCGCTTCAAAAATATATAAATCGGAAATAACTGTTGACATGCTTTAAGCGCTAAGAACAGGCATCCATTTTCAAGAAATGCCAAACGTGAATGAGAAGATACAAAAGAAATTTGAAATATAAAGTGTAAAGTTTCAGATGAAAATGGAAAAATAAAGGTGAGAAACAGAGCTGGGAAAACCACGGTAGCCGAGAGAGAAGGAAGATAAAAATCAGAATAGGAGAAACCACACCGGCCGAAAGACGCAAATCAGGGTAAAACGCATTTTCACGAGCTATGGAATAGTGATGAGTAACTATTATTGTTAATAAGAAAATCAGCATTCATATGAATAAAACAAGATTCCAGGGCACCAAGATCAGCTGATGTGATTGAGGGAGAAATTATTGTGGTACTGTCGAAATTGAATTTATGCCCAAGATTCCAACAATGTGCAGAAGTTGACGATTTCTTAAACTCTTAATAACAGACTTATCTATCGTGTCCCTTAAGTCGCGTTTTGTAAATCGATATAATTAGGAAATAACAATCGACATGCTTCAAACGCTTAATGCCAGTCTTTCCAGAACAGCAGTTTTTATTTCCTTTTCGTGTTAGCTATTATCTTCTGACTTTATATGTGGCATTGACTTTGAATGAGTACTAAATATCATAACTATTAGATAGTTTACTAATTACAGAAAAATCAACAGAAAATGTTTTGTTAACACCTGTCTTAATGTACACATTTTGACAAATAATTATTACTCTGTGGAATACATTTTTATTTATATAGAAATATTTAATTATTTTGTATTAATTTAGATCAAAATAAGTGAAAATTATTATATTTAGCATTTTAGTTACTTATGGTAATGAAATATATTATAAACACCAATGAATTTTTTCTAGGTTAAAGGCGAAATCTTCCAAATACGGCCCGCGTCCAAAAAACAATTTTTATATTTGCACTTATTTGGAGTTAGTTAGGTACAAGAAACACACAGTTATTCATCATTAAAATTTCTTCAATTTAAAAAATCAATAAATGATAAATTTTTGAAAATGAATGTAAAAAAAAAAATCAAACTACTTTTTTGAATTTTATGTTTTAGTATATATATATACTAAATATATTTACAATAATCTAACAGATTTTCTTTAGTAACTATAAACTGTTTTTATAATTGAAGAATAATAAAATATATGTTTGTATATTGTATTTAGAGCATCAGAAAAATTATATATAGAAGGAACACCAGCAACCCATCTGCTTCAAGAAGTTAACAATAAATAGAATTAGTCACAATTAGTATAATAATTAAATTACAGCAGCACATATACACATATTTTAAATATCCAAATGCATATTTAACTTTTCCTTCTCTGCATAACTCTGAAATATCAAACTAAAGTTATTAAATAATAATTATTTATTCCGTTAATTTAGTTTTTTAGGGGTATGTATACTACGCATATAAATACATATGCATGTACATTTATACATTTTGAGAAAATAAATTACCCGATATCCAAGTTCCGTTGAATAATCTGGGCACATAAGCTCCGTCCATAACGTCATCTAACTCCATCAGTGGATGTCTGATTCGTGGTCCTTGATCCTCTGAAAAATTACAAAATTTAAGCAAAGACAATCAATCAAATTCAATAACAATCAAAGTAATCAATCAAATTCAAACAAAATGTTCATACTATACAAACTTAAATACGTGTTTACGAACAAACTTACGAAATACGTGTTTGCGAAAATGGACAGAGCTCAAAATACTTACCAACGAAAATGGGCTAGTCTCAAAATGCGTGTTTATGAAAATGGACACATCTCGATATGCGTATTTTCAAAAATAGCCACAATTCGAAATGCGTGTTTACGAAAATGGATACATTTCGAGAGACGTGTTCAAAAAAATGGACACATCTCGAAATGCGTGTTTTCAAAAATAGTCATATCTCGAAATGCGTGTTTACGAAAATGGATACATTTCGAGAGGCGTGTTTACGAAAATAGACACATCTCGAAATGCGTGTGTTTGAAAGTAGTCACATCTTGAAATGTGTTTTTACAGAAATGAATAAATTTTTTAGAGGCATGTTTACGAAAATGGACACGGCAAAAAATACGCCTTTTCAGTTTTCCACTTAGATTTAATTAAAGAAATGTAGAAATGCGTGCTTATTTTTCTTTACTTTTTTAACTCTAAACACAATTATGACGGGATTAGGTCTTGTGGTCGGGTGACTAGGTATATTTCAGATGCAGCTTTCCAGGTAATGCCTTTGTGCTCAGAATTGTAAACGATACAGTGAGTTTTAAAATTCTTTACACATAGAACGTAAATTTATTACCACTATTTTAAATGTATAAAATTCGTGGCAAATTTTCACAAACAACTGTTGACTTTGAAATTCATGTAAAAAAAGTTATTTTTGAAAAAACTAATTTAATAAATTATGCCAAGAAATTTCTGCAAATAAGCGATATAACAAAAAAAAATTTATTCGGATTCATTAGTTTATTCTGTAAAAAAAGAACAATACTCATAAAAGAACTTAACGAACGAAAAAACGAAATCAAATGCTATGGATATTTTCATAAACATGGAATAAGAGCTGTGTCCATATTCGAAAAGACGCATTCTAAGAAGCTTAGCCAATTTTCGTCCACATTGAGAAAAAAAGTATAGTCAAAACAACCAAAATCTGAAAATTTTTTCGGTGCTTCGTATGCTGTGGAAACACCAAAAATCTTGGTAATTTTTATCGACGTGCTTAGTAATGATTTTGTCAAAATTAACAACAAAATATCGTTTTATAACGTATCATAAAATTTTATAATTTAATGATACTTTAGAGAATTTTATAAAATCTTTTTTTTTTCGGTTAAATTTACTTTTTATTTTTTCATTTTTTAATAAATGCGTGGTTTGGTAATAAGAACTATGATTTGGAAAATAAAAACTAAGGTAAATCGTTATTATATGAACTGAAAAATTACTAAATGAATGGTTTAAATACCGTGTATTTTGGTTTTATTACCAAGATTATGGGTTTTTTACTCTCATACAGTTCACTACCAGAATAATTTTGACAGAATTTTTTTTCTCCGTGTAGATTTAAAAGTTTATCGTCGAGTTCTTTTTTTAATTTGTTACGTGGCCTACTTGTAAAAAACGAAATTTTCACGGATTTCCGAAATTGTTTGATTTGTTTTGCAAACTTAATATATGACCATGACTAAATCTCTGAGAGTTTAGAATAGTTTCTAAAGCTTTTACTTGAAGTGTTTAAACTGGTTTTAGCCTCAAAATTTGACCAGGGTAAGATTAAAAAGAATACGCTCTACAGTTGGAGATGCATAATTGCTAAATAATAAATCTTTGTCAACAAGTTAAGGCTACAGTGGACCTTTATATTGCCAAAAATTGATAAAAATTTCGGTTTTTTTTTTTGGACATATTTAGACACTTGTTTCATTGCTTTTTCAACTGAATTTTTTTTTTTTTAAATTTCGTCATTTTTTGAGAAGTTATAGGGTAGTTTCGTTTTCACATTATGAAGCCACGCCCCTTTTCTTACACAAAAAGCTGTTTTTCTCAAAATTGAAATTTTGTTATGTTTCACGTATTCAAAATGTTCCAGTCGACTTTGTTTTCATCCTATTGAGATGAAATTTTTTTCTAGTTAAATATATGTATATTAGATTAAGTTTATGCATTTGTTTCTGTTTTATAACAAGTAATAAAAGAGTTATCGGGTTTCATGTACCTAACGACCTTTATTTTGAAACAAAAATCTACATAAAATTTGTTTTTTGGTCTTAAATTTAAAATAAATTTAGGAAAATTCCTATATAATGCATAAAACCTTTAACATTTATCTCTAAAAAAAGAATATTAAAAAAAAATAAATAAAAATTTTAATTTAAGCCGCTGGGAGCATTTTAAAATTGATGAAATTTTTTAAAAAAAATTTTAAATTTCTCAAAAATGGTCCAAATATTTTTTACAAAATTTTTTGCAAGGGCATATCTTGATAGAATACATAAGTTATAAAAAAAGTTTTAGTGTAGCATAAAAACTAAAAAAAATTTTTTTGAACGTCCACTGTAGCCTTAAAAGATATTCTTACTTTAATCGTTGTCTGGGGTTTTTAAACTGGTTTTGGCTACACTAGTTCTGTTTTTTTAAATTATTATTATTGTTAATCTTTTGAAATTCAGCCAATCTTTCAGCGTCTACCCTGACATTCCAAAAGGTCATTAAAAATTTGAATCTTAAGCATTAAAAGTTTTACTTTCAACAACTTTTCCCCAAGTAGAACTGGCAAATGAAAACTATTTCCATAGTTTAGTTCTACTCATCAAATCCACAAAAATTGTTTTGCATGCGTTAAGCTTAATTTTCAAAAATAACAAGATTAAAAAATTTTATTCGTGTTTAACAACAGCATACCATTAAGACCAATTAAACATTTTTGTAATTAAATGTGACAAAAATGCTTTGTTGTCCACGAAACTTGTATTCTTCACAACTTATCTACTCAAAATACTCAAAATAAGGATCTAATGCGTACAATTACCAAAGCCAATGAGAGAAGAAAAAGCCATTTTCTAATTATAATATAAACACTCTAAATATATGACCAGAACCAGTTAAAGAGTTTAATAATAAATTAAAGAAATATTTTGTTACAAGTGAAAATTGCATTCGTAGCAACATAGTTCAGTCGAAAATTCTCAATGTAGAGTTGACAAAGGAAACCTATTTCACAAACGTGATCGACAAATATAGTAAAATTTCTGTTTAAAACTTCAATTACCAAACGAAAACAGTTTTAGCAAGCTTATGAATAAGAGTGCCGAAGAAATAAGAAAGGTTCTGCTTTTTCTGATTGAGAGCGATAGCAAAAAAAAAGAAAAAGATATATGAGCAACATTTCTTTCACCGCCAAGCTAAACAGTACTATTTAAATGGGAGACCCCAGCTGCTGAATGGACTCGAATAAACTAAGAATATATATTCTGGAAATTCCGAGCAAAGAATACATATTCTGAAGCTATTTTTTGAAAAAACGCTTTTATCAAAATAAATTTTTTGTTTGTTTTAATTTGGTTTTGAGAAATATTACGGCAATAATGGATTTTAGCAAATAGTATTAGAGATTAGATTTTTAATTTTATGTTAAATGACTCCACCTACTGCTCGCTCAACTCGTCAGCCCCTCGTAATTGCTTCTCATTCATCATCGTTTGTTTTTTCCTATTAAAAGTCAATATTTTCGACAAAAAACACAGAATATTTTGTTTTCAAAATATGCAATTACTGTAGTTTTTTACCTACAGAATACAGATTGTGGAACTCAATCATAAGAAATACATAACAAGTAATTGTACTCTTTGACGATACTTATAACAATTCAAATAGGGATGGTTTTTACAGCTCTTTATTCACCTTATTCCCCACTGTGTTTCATGTTCTCCACGGTAGGGGGCAGTATTTGTAGAGGTTGTTTCAACTTCCGGTGCAAGATTCAGGCAGAATAATTTCTGTTGGTCAAAACTAAACTGCTTAAATCAGCATCTCAACGATCAGGTAATTGTATATCAATATATGATTAATTTCCCAAGGTACTTACTTTTATATCGTCATTTGGTATTTTAAAATGTGAAAAACAAATTTTTTCGCAAAAACACAACACTAAATTTAAATTCAGAACAACTGAGTTTTCCAAGTATATGCAAACATACCCAGAAAGTCAAAAAAAGGAACAATCACTTCAATTCTGTGATGTCAGAAGAGGATCTCAAGACTTCCGGCAGGATTTTTTTAAATTTTTTTTATTTGGATAGATAGTAAATTAAGCCAATGGCCGTGGGTTCAAATCCCGCTCTGGGCATGGATGTTTCTCTCTCTTGCGTTGTCCTCTGTTGTGTGTGATGAGTGAATGTGGCCCACCCTATGAACGGGTTTGTGGCAGTGTGGCGTGGGCAATGTTACTCGCCTCCGTGACCTTGATTCACTGGTGCCCACTGGGTAGCGCGAAATGAGTAACAACTCTGGCATCTTCTAAGGCAAAACGAATAAAGTTCAGTGCCTGCCATTCGGAAAAAAAGGATGGTAAATAAATTTTTTTTTTTTTTTTACATTTAAAAGCTTTAAAATAAATATTAAAACTTATATCTGGCAACACGTAATTTCTCTCACTTATCTGTTTTTCTCCTTCTTTTTCGCAACTTTGATTGATACGCACGAGGTTATAAAATTGAAATAAGGATCTCGCGAGTGAAAAATGAATTTTCTGCAAAAATGTATAAATAGTTAATATTTAAAGCAAATTAGCTTAAAAATATTAGGAAGCCCTTTAACTTGCAATAATTTTCAAAGAAATCTTTATTTCAGAACAAAATTCAGAACAAGATTCAAGCGTGAAGTTGCATTTCTGCGGACTGCAGTACGGTCGGTATGATGTGTTTTCCTACAAGTTTAACAGTTTAATTCTCGAACTAATTACTGAATTCTAATTTTTTTATTCCATTGTATTTTCTGTGCATTTTTCTATAAAAGTGAGTAATTTAAAGTTTCTAAGTTTTTTAGTTTTTGCGTA